TCCCCCCGGTAAGCGGGATTTCCTCCCGCTGGTCGTTAGTCTACAAATTATTTTGTTTATCCCGCAGGGGATGGTAAAGCCAAGGGCAGCGGTGGGGGATGGCCCCAGGATATGCACCCACCCTGCCACAGGGCAGGCACCAGGTAGGGGCCGGCCCCAGCCACTGCCACCGCTCCTTCCACCCCCTTTATTTAAACACCTCCAGGGAATAAACCCCCCATCAGCTCTGCTATGGAACTACCCCAAAAGGGGTATTTTACAGGGGCAAGATCTGGCCCTGCACCATACCAGCATACATACCGCTCGGTTCCCTGCTTCACTGCTCGATCCCACAGTCAGAGCAAGCACATCTCTGCCAAACACCCCCCAAACGAAGCAGTTCAGGGGCACAGGGACCTGCTTACCAAGCATGGGGTGCAGGATCAGCCCCCCCCAGCTCACTGCCTCCTCCCACGGCCCGTCATTGCCAGCAATTTCTCTTCCTCTCCCTGGGTTCCCTACGGCCTTCTTTGCGAAAATCAGGTTCCTGAACCTTGAGATACATGAGAAAACAATTCTGTTAGCAACACAGAATTAAAAAAAAAAAAAAAATCAAACAACTAAATAATAATTTAAAACTGGGAGAAAATGGTGTTAATTCACTTATGCCGCGTGTCCCGCAGCAGCCAGGGCAGTTTGATGGTTGGTTGGTTGTAAACCATCACTCTTCCCTACCCCAACACTGGTGCTGTTTTTAATTTCTAGGTTAATGAGCTGCTGCAGCAGCAAGTGAAAAAAAAAAAAAAAAAATCCTGAAACTAACAGTCCAGAAGCAGGAACAAGGTTTTGAGGCTTTTTTCTGCCTGATTCCCACACCTCAGTGAGGCGGCCGGTTAAAATTAGCTCCGCTCATCTCCATTGAAGTTTCCGTGATGTACTCACAGCACAACCGCTCTGAATCAGCCCAGCAGAAATTACGGGTCGAGAAATCAAATCGTCTCCCCCTTCCTCAAAGCTTCTCAATGGCCTCACTGCTGTTTTCAACACCAGTCTATAAACCGGAGCTTCTTTTGCCCGAGTGGGATCAGCCCGGAGCTAAAGCCGACCCGGCACCGCTCGCTGCTTCGAGGCGCAGAGAAACGCAGGGGATGTGAGGGCTATAAATAAGCTGACGAACAGCAACAAGGACAAACTATTTCAGAAAGGCTGTGTTTCGCGGGGCTGAATCTGCTCCCAGCTGGGGTTTCGCTGGGCAAGAGAGCCGGGAGCTGCCAAAAAGCCGAGCCGGTGCCCCACGTCTCGGGCATCGTGGCTGCAAAACTGCCCCCCGGCGCTGCGAGCGGCCAAGGCAGCATGTTTTAGTGCACTCCCAAAATGGATTATAATGAAGAGGCAGCCCCCCCATTCATCCCGAACCCGCAGGGGTGCATCTCGAGGCCAGTTGCCATTTGCCTGGCTTGCTTTGGGCACCCCGCCAGCGGGCACATAAAAATAGCCATCCCCCGAAGCCAGAGCTGATCCCGAACACCGTGCCCTCTACCCTCACCGTGGACACACCAAAAAAGGCAGCTTGTCTGGGTGGCCCCAGGGTGAAGCCACCCCAGGAGCGTCGCCAGACGCAGCACCGGTCCCCAGCGGTGGCACAGCACAGCCGGGCATCCCATCTCGCCCCCAGATCATTGCTTGCATCTGAATCTCCAAGGGTTCGTGCTAAACTTTGCTGGGCCAGAGCAAAATTGAGTTATGAATTCTCACGCCACACTTGAGAGCCGAGTGTGCCCTGGTCGGCAGGAGTTAATTGGCTTGACCAGGATAAACATATCAAGGCTGATTAATTCGAGCGGGCTAAAAGTCATCCAAGCACCATCGTAACACTGGCTACGGTGGAAAATAGGAGGGTTTTTTGGGGTTTTTTTCCCTTTGCATGCATGCAAAGGAGTCGAGCACAGGGTTTTGCAAAACTGCTCTGTGAGATGATACCTTCCCCAAGCCAAAAGTGGATCCCACTGTTGAACACAGCCTGGTGGGACGTGGGATAACCGCTAACGATAGCGCAGCCCGTTCTCCTTAATAAGCACATGGGGAGGCTGAGGAGGAGGAGAACAGCCGTATTCCCAGCCAGAGGGAAAACTAAAATAGCTGAAATGGAAGGAATAAACCCAAAGAGGGGAAATCCAGCCCGGGGGCTTCGGCTTCACCAACCCACCCAGGTCCTTGCGTGGGGAAAAGCAGCACATATTGGTATGAACTCCAGCAGATCCTTATGTAAAAGCGAGCAGCACATGCCCACAAAATCCTCAGGAAATATAACAGCCTGGTGTATAGGAATGATTTATCGGCACGGCTTTTGGCTGCAATCCATATATAACCCATAGCGGCTGCGGAAGGATTATCGAAGCAATCAGTCTCGCATCTAATTCAGCAAGGAGAGGGATATTAAAATGAAAAGAGGTCTGTGAAACCCTGGCAGCAGCTCTCCCTCTCGCTCACGTCCACGTGGCTTAGCGGAAATGAATGGGAGTGAAATCGGCCCCCGCGAGGGTGAAGTGATTTTTACAGCCCCCTCCTGCCGCCCCAGCTCTGCTGCGAGCGTCTGGTCCCTGCTGGGATGCGGCCGCCTCCGAATGGGAACGTGCCGACCAATTTCGGGGAGCGCAGAGGACGACACCTTGCAGCCAGCACTGGCTGCAAAGATTAAATCGGAGTGTACGGATGCATCAGCCTGTCCTTCCCTCCCTGGAGCTGTTTCTCTACCCAGGCGCAGGGTGGGAGATGGGACGGTGCCCCTGGCTCCCGCCAGCTGCCACACACTCCCCTTCCCCCCGCCCCCACCGATGAGCTTCCCTCCGGCAAGGCCAGACACGGTGTCAGGGTCGGACCCTGCCAAGGGAGTGAGACTTGGTGGCAGCTCCAGCAGTGACACCTCCATCCATCCTTCCGTGGGGGTCAGCTCATGTGCTGCAAAAAAAAGCTGTTCATAACAAAACTGAACACAAACCACCTAAACCAAGGCAGATTTTACTCGCAGAGGGTCCTCCCCCTGCTACCGCCAAAGGTCTGCGGTTAAAAGTTAACCGGGGCCAGCGCGTGGGGCAGTTATCAGCTCTCGCTGGGCAGAGTCCAGTGGCTATTTTGCTTTCCCCGGTCACTGTCAGTGGTGGAAGCGGCCGTGCCAAGAGCGGTGTCATCTGCAGCAACGGGGGCATCGATCACAGTTTCCCTTCCTACGGGTGAGCGCAGACCTTGCCAGAAATATATTAGTCACTGTAGTATACAAAGACCATATGCATCCCCGCCTGACTTTTAATGGAAAAAAATCTCTCAGCAGCTTCTCTAGAAGTCAGAGGACACCCAAAATAACGAGGGACTGGAAAGAGGCACCCAGGCCCCATCTGCACCAGGTCCCTGTGCCCAAGCAACAAAGCTTTTCATTGCCCCCAGGGTAGCAAGAGCCTCCTGTGCTGCCTGGCCCATCCAACCAGGATGGAAAGAATTGGGGGAAAAAATGCAAAGCCGGGCTGGTAGCATTATGACGGCATGAAACCCAGCGGCATGTTTCAATAGGAGTCAAAAAACATCTTTACCAAGATTTTTTTATAATCTTGATGATACCAACTAATAGTGCTTAAGCAATAAATAATGAGCATCCCAAGAGTATAAGCTCCGAACATGGCGTTGACCATGGGCCGGTATGAGTTCAGGGCATCACCATCACCTTGTCCAGCACTGCTGAGCAGCTCCCAGCTCTCCTGGAAACAGCAGCTCCAGCCCACGATGTCCATGAGAGAGGAAACGAGAGCAGCTCTGCACTTCGTGAACACCACTTAAAAGACATGAGGGCTGAGTAGACAGCACAGCCTCCTCCAAATTACCTCCCCAATCTGATAACAGCCACCTTCCCCGGAACGGCACTGGTCGATCAGACACCCCTCGTAGTGCTACCAGGATGGGCTCTTGGGTTTTGTTGGCTGTTTTTCCCAAAATGAAGTGCTCATGGAGAAGGGCCAGGAGAGGGACGGGGCTCCTTCTCCCAGAAGAGGGGCTGCTTCTCTTGTTTGGGGCCATGAAGGCAGCTCCAGCACTTACAGCCACCACACATCCCCTCCCCAGCATGGTCCCCCTGGCCCTGAGGACAACCTGCTCCTGTCCCCAGGGACAGTTTCTGCTCCTGTAGCATCGCACAGCCACGCCGTCAGCCCACCAGCTTCCTGCGGTCATCCCACCACTTCTTTTGGACTTTGCTGTTACCTTCACACTCCCGATGCTCCCTGCCCCACACGTGGCCACAGGGCTGCCTCCCATCTCCTCACCACACTTGGGCACTCACAGCAACCCAACCTGTGGCTTTTCCTAATGAGACCCCTCCCCAGTACACAGTTGCTCCACCAACTCCATCCTCTCCATCTTCTCCCAGCCTCTCCCTTGCCCCTTGCCCCTAAAAATGCCCTCCTTTTCCCAACCCCACCCCGGTCCCCCTGCTCCGAGCTCTCGCCTTCCCGGGCAGGAGCCCCACGGGGTCCGCGGGATGTCGCGGCAACGGCCACCACCTTGTCACATCCCCAAGCCTGGGATGCTGCCGGCCCACCGGGTACCACCGGCACATGTCGG